ACTTTTGGACAAAATTATAAGGGTAAGGCAAGGGTATAAAAATTCATAAAAAAAGTCAAAGTAAAGATTTATGTCTGCTCACTCCCCTAAAAGTCATCCATCGGTAGGGTATACAAGCACAATTCATATGCAGAATTACAAAAACTTAAAAGCATTCGGCGTTTTAAGTGATGCCGACTGAAATATACCCTGCTACTTTCTCAGTACATATATTGTTTTGAATGATTCGTAAAAATATGTACATATATACAAAACATTTTACTGCTAACACCTAATCTCATTCCTAAAAAAAAAATGTATGCTGTATGCTGAGAAACAGAAAGCATCCAATGAGAATATGAGCGTAAGATGAACGAACGATGAGTGTAAGAACTCGCTCTGGGGCCTGTCGCAAGAAATTTTTGCGTCCATTTTCGTTGTATGAAATGAGTTGACTATATGCTGTATGGTTGGTGTTTATAGTCGGCTGATCCTTATGAAATTTAGTGGGTCGTATTATTTTGCCAAAAATAGCTCTTGTGTAAAATCTGAACTGTCTAACTCTAAAAACTCAATCAGTTATATGGCAGTTAAAAGATATAGTCGTTCCGACTTATATAGGATATAGTCGTTCCGTTTTATATACTGCGTGCAAATGATAGAAGGGTGTGTGTAAATTTTCAAGACGATAGCTTTAAAACTGAGAGACTAGTTCGCGTAGAAACAGACAGAAACGGACATCCTCAAATCAACTCAGGAGGTGATCCTGATCAAAAATATATATAATTTATAGGATCGCAGGTGTCTCCTTCACTGCGGTGCACACTTTTGGACAATATTATAATACCCTCTGCAAGGGTATAAAAAAAAACAATAAATGAATGCAAACTTCGGGCGGAGCCAAAGTTGATATACCCTTGCTGTTAAAACCGGATATATATCGCAAACATCGGATATAGTTGGCCGACAATTATGAGAATATGATAATATTACCCAATTATTATAATAAAAAATCTTAAAAAAACTAAGAGCGAAGGGCTATCCAAGATAACCTAGAAATAACCCATTTAAACCCTTCTCTGCATTGCCCAGTTGCTTTCCCAAAGCTGTCTATGCATACTCCTCCCCCAGTAAATCTGTATTGGCCTAATAGCCAACACCGACAGTGCGATGAGCTACTTTCTTAAGAAGAAATAAAAAATCTCTGCTTTGAATTAATTAAACAGCTTTGAAACTCAAAATCTAGAACCGATCAATTAGAGTTAATTACTTCTCTAGCATTTAAATTCATATCTTAATGTTAACGGATCTATCAATCGTAGCTTGGAATGCTAGGGGTATTCGAAATAAACAAAAATATTGGCATTTGTCTAATGTGTAAAACATGATTACACAGGAATGTGTCCAGTAAACTACGAAATTACATGTGCTATCGGCATGATCGAGCCGATAATAGAGGAGGAGGGGTAGCAATTGTTGTTAAGAATAATATACGCCACTCCCTGCTACCTCACCCCAATACATCTGTGCTAAAAACCATAGGCGTAAAAATAATCAATGCTCAAGGTACTAAGGTTAAAGTGTATTCGTGCTATTTTCCTGGAGGTAGTTCCAACTCTACTGCTTGAAGACTCTTCCAGGCGGACATTCACAATCTAACTAGTTTAAACGGTCACTTCATACTAGGCGGTTAATTCAATTGCAGGCACGGTGCGTGGGATTGTTTCAGGGCAAACAAGTGGGGGAATATATTGTAGCACAAACTGGACTCACAGAACTTCTATATAATCCACTCGGCGGACCACACCTACATCCCAGCAAGAGCTCAAGGTTTCTCTTCAACATTAGATTTATTCAACATTAATTGCCCGCAACGCTTTTCACGTGCGTGAGCAATAAATAATCTGGAATCTGACTACCTACCAGTCCAAATTACGTTACCTAATAGTAGAGTCATATTACTTCGATACTAAAAACGCAAATTGTGTAGAATATATGCACCTTATCAACTCACAGCTACCAACAATAAGCACCAGCTCAATCTGTCTTCCCCAGGACATTGACGAACTAATCAACAACTTTAATAACACAATATCTGGAGCTAAAATTGCCAGCATACCCCAAAAAAAAATTCGCTACTCACCCAAGCCTAGTGATGTTACCAAACTGATAAGGAATCGGAATCATAAAAGACAGAAATGGCAAAGGTTCAGACATCATATCGACAAAAGTTACAAGTTACAAGTTACAAAACTTTTTGATCAAATAGAGCGATTCAACCAAAGAATCCATACAAAAGAATTTTAAAGGTCTTAACTAGGATGCAAATCTTCATCTTCCCTCCTACAGTAGCAAACTAATAAACTTACCAATCTTAACTAGTCGTAGGACAATGCTGGGTGTAGATTTTCTACATAATCTAATCAATGGTGATGTAGATAGCCAGCATTTACTAACACCTGTCCTTCAAATTTTAAATATAGTTAAAATATAGTTAGTTAAATTTCCTTATTAACTCCTCTTAGCTTAACAAATACCAAATTTGTTGATGCACAAGCCACTTCAAAAATTTTGAAAGACCGCGAAAAAAAAATATATACATAAAAAGTTAAGAAACACTATACCTTGAACCACTGTGCCACATAGGAGCCGAAGCGGGAACTTTCTTTTGCACAAAAAAGAAAATAGCAAAAGAAGAGGAAGAAGCAGAGCTGAATTAAAATTAAACATATTATTTCTTTGTTCATTAAGGGTTTTCAATCCACTCCAAAATAAGAGACCGAATTTAGGTTTTTTAATTTATTTATAATACATTTTAAAATTTAATATAATTTATTTACTCTGGAGGCAGATGAAACTGGGATCAACCATAAGGAACATCAAGTTTATGGTGCTAAGCAGTGACTATAATATGCTCGAGCGGCCGAGAAAGAGTAGGCTTGCGACCAACTAAGGCGATATGTCCATACTTTAGCTTAATAAATAAATTATAAATTAATTCAGCGGCTGCTGCCTGACCCGACATTATTAATTCGTCTTTAAATAAACCACCGCACACGCAAAGCGATAAGGCTAAAGTTAAAACTAAAGTTTCTCAAAATTCGATTCTCAATTAAGTAAACACCGCTTTACGGCAATATTTATCATAAACGCAGTGCGCACAAAAAACCACGACCGTTCGCTTAAGAGGAAGTGAGAGAAGTTGAAGCTACTTTAGGTAACGTAGCCGACGCGCAGTGGCTCCAAAATGCTGGATTAAGCCTAGCCCAGCAGAAGACGGAAGCGGTGCTAGTCAGCAGCCGCAAGGTGCTGAAATCGGCGACGAACCAGGTCGCCGGAAAGGCCACAACCTCCCAGCGGACCATAAAATACCTGGGCGTGATGATTGACGCCCGGCTCTTCTTCCGTGAGCACCAGAAGAAGTAATCCTCCGCGAGCCTTGCCAAGGCCATCATTGCTGTGGGCAAGGTTAAGTTTGGGTGGACAGTATGGCATATGAAGAAGAAGGATGTCGTTGCTCGCTGCTACAGGTGCCTAGGACAGGAGCGGCTGTTGCTTCCGCTGCGGAGAAAAGGACCATACGGCGGCCACCTGTAAAGGGACCATCGGTGCTTCTCATGTGAAGATACGGGCCGGAAGGACTTCAGACAAAGACTGGAAGTAGAAGCTGCCCAATGTCAGTGAAAGAAGGTGCACCAAGGATGATAGGATGCTAGTGCTTCATATGAACCTGAACCACTGTAGGGCGGCTCAAGATGTGCTGGCTCAAACTGTGCGGGAGGTGAAGGCGGACAAAGCGCTCATAAGCAAGCCACTTGGGTCTGGCCCTGACAACCGCTGGGCAGTAGACGTATCAGCCATTTGGAGCTGCGGCGCAACCGTCGCGACAATGCACTCAGTGCACAGTGCGGAGGGATACGTCAGGGCTCGGATAAGCGGGGCATTGCTTTACAGCTGCTATCTGGCACCTAGCTTAACCAGCAGTGAATTCATGCGCATTATGGACTGCCTGGGAAATGACACCAGAGGCCGTTCTGATGTCCTTGTAGCTGGGAACTTCAATGCGTGGGCGCAGGACTGGGGCTGCCCGAGGACGAATGTGAGAAGAAGAGTGGTGAGAGAAACCTTGATTGATTCTATTCGCGCGGAGCGAGCGAGAGGCAGCGACAACTTCGAGAAGCGGCACATAGCCTTCAAGGACCGTCGTAGAGCATTGAAGCAGGCCATCCGGAATAGCAAAAGGAAATGCTTCCTGAAGCTATGTGACACGGCGGAGGAAAACCCATGCGGCAACGCATATAGGATGGTGGTGAAGAGGCTGCGCGCAGGAGGCCAGTCCCCCACGGACCCGAACGCACTGAGGACAATAGTGCGAGCGCTGTTCCCAGCCGGCAGAGAGGATTAGCTCCAAACAACGCACCGGGCCCGGATTCGGTTCCTAACCGAGCTCTGAAGCTGGCTCTGGCGCTGCAGCCGGGTAGTTTTACGGAGCTGTACAACAAATGTATCCGCGGCACTTTTCCCACCAGATGGAAGGTGCAGAAGCTCCTGCTGCTTCTCAAACTAGGAAAACCACGAGAGGAGGCGTCGTCCTACAGATAAATCTGCCTGCTGGACACAACGGGCAAGGTCTTCGAGAGGGTGTTTGCGGCGAGGCTCGAAGCTGCCATAGAGGAGCCTGGAGGGCTGTCTTCTAAGCAGTACGGGTTCCGGAAAGGAAGGTCGACAGTGGATGCCATAGCAGCGGTGGTTGGTTCGCAGCGCAATAGCGGGAACCAGGTGGAAGCGTGGCTCCAAGCAGTTTAGCCTAATAGTAACCCTGGCCATCAGAAACGCCTTTAACACGGCGGCAAAACACTGGCAGCCCTAAGGCGGTTCAACGTTCCCAGAGCCATAATGAACGTTGTCAGTAGTTAATTTAGCTGCCGAGTGCTACTTGTCGACAGGGACATGCGCACGGAGTCCTACGACGTTACGGCGAGAGCGCCCCAAGGATCCTAGGACTGTTGCTGTGGGACGTCATGTGCGACGGGATCCTGAGATTGCAGCTTCCAGCGGGATGCGACGTAGGCAAAAGCCGACGACGTAGCGTAAGTGGTTGTGCCCAAGCATAGAGAGGAAGCGGAGAGAGCGGCAAACAAGGCGATTGAAGCAATGGAGCAGTGGCTCCAAAATGCTGTATTCAGCATAGCCAGGTCGGTGGAATGGCCATACCCTCCCAGCGGGCCATAAAATACCTGGGCGTGATGATCGACGCCCGGCTCTTCTTCCGCGAGCACCTGGAGTACATCCAGGGCAAGGCTGCAGCCACCAACAGGGGCCTCGCTAGGATCCTTATCAACACCAGAAGCCCGAGACAGAGAAGAAGAAGGTTTCTCGTCAGGGTTGCCTCGGCGCAAATTTTGTACGCCGCCCCCATCAGGGCAGAGTCGATGAATACGCCCAGCTACATGAGAACAGTAAATGCAGCGTACAGGCGGGGAGCCATAAGGGTAGCGTCCGGTTTTAGAACGGTTTCCGATGAGGCCATCCTGGTCATTGCGGAGATGGCCCCTCTGAAAGAGCGCGCTCGCGAGCTCAAGGAGCTACATGACGCTCGCGCCCGTTATGAAGGTGCTGGCGGCGTCCTCGATACAACCACAAGGGCAGAAGCCAAGGAGATGTCGCTCACAGCCTGGCAGGAGTTCTGAGACACATCGAAAAAGGACGCTGGACGTACACCCTCATTCCCAACCTTAGGAGGTGGGTGCTTCGAAGCCACGGGCAAGTTGATTTTTATCAAACCCAGGTCCTGAGTGGGCATTGCTGCTTCCGACAATACCTGAAGCGTTTCGGCCACGAGTAGGAAAACTGGACGTCCAGATTGGACTACATCCAAGCCAGCCGCAACTGTCATATCGACGCATTTCCGCAAAAGTATCGTAAATCGCTCTTTTTCGAAATTGAGATTTTAATGCAAAATTGTTAGGCACCTATTGTCTCACTACCCTGTGAAATATTATAACTAAAAACCCTATAGTACCGATAAAAATTAAGTTTCAATTTTATCGTATGTTACAGTGATTTTCAATGTGCGCGCGAAATTATCGTATGTCCATACGCAAATTTTTTGCATGGAAATACTTCAAACGCACAAAAATAAAGAAATACAATAACCGCTTTCTAATCGCTTAAACATCTTATGATTTTTCTTATTGTTTGCAAGAGATTAAATAAAAAAAAGCTTTTCCTGTAACATTGGATTTTTCAACATACGACACTTTTGCGGAAATGCGTCGATATGCCAAAATTAGCTTTCTTTTTATTTTTTTATTATGTCAGAAATAGAGTTTTAGATGCAGCTCCCGGGACATAAATTGGCGTTATTTTTTTTATTTGACGAAAAAAATCGAAATCGAGGTTGCCGAATGTAGATGGTGGACGACAATGCCAAGGGTAGAAAGCATGCAGCACTGCTCAGGTAATGGTTAAGCAGGTTAAAACGAGGTAATGTTTACGCACCAAGTGAGCAGTTAAACGAGAAGTTATTTGAACAACGTACAAGGCGTAATGGAGCAGCTACGGTTCCGATATGGACGACGTTGAGCTATTGCTTTGGAGTCAAATAGAGAGCGGTAAAAAGCCGCAGTCAATTTAGGAGCTGATCGCAAAATTGCCTAAGTATAAGTTTGGAGTGGGATAGAACCGCAGATAGAACCGTATCCAAAGGAAGTGAAGATAAGTGAGTACAATAAAGACCCAAAGCGAAAGTGGCTACGGGAAGACATGAAACAGAAAGAGTAGAATTACCACCCCAGTGGTTGTCTCATGTGAAAGGGAAACACGGTGTTAAGGATTGGAAGAAAGAGTTCAATCACGCCACTTTCAAAAAGCGGATGGCGTTCAACACATAACGACGGATATTTTTTACATGCGTTGAAACCGGGCACATGGCATGGCAAGAGAAGCCGTACGAACTTACGTCTACGAATGGTAAAGGAAGCATCAATACTTGCTGCATGACGAAACCGGTAGTCCCAGACAAACAACTGTTCGACGGTGGCCATAAGAGGGAGCTATTAAGCAGCCAGGTACAAGAGTTGCACGAGCTCCCCAGCCAAAATAAGCGCATGCCGCAGTCAGCGGCATCAGCGGTTACAGGAAGTAACACTTCCATGTCTCATGCATCACGCCTAAAAGGGGAAGGGCGCTTGGATAATTAGAGTCAATGTAGGTCGCCCGCTATTACCGGTTCTGCCCGAGACGCTGTTAGGGGCATGTATTCACTACTCGACGAGGGATCTTCTGTAACACTCACAAAGTTCCACACTCATGGAACCCAACGGGTGGCTATTTAAGGCTAGTAGCATTTTGGTATTGCGAAAAGATCGCATTAAGAAAGAGTAGGTGAAATAGTTTACGAGGGTATCAGTTTTATCAAAAGGGTCATCTACTAGGACATGGTCCATGATTTATCTATTGATTTCTGCATCATCGCCACGAGATCCTTCATCAGACGGCGGAAACCGGAGGTCAAGATGAGAAGCGATAAAGAAAAAAACTTCATTGAAGCCAATCGAGAGGTCCGACTCTCAATAACATGCTGAAAGGAGCACCCAATCAACCAGATCCACCCGGAGGCAATGGGCAGCCGGTAGAGAGGTGTGCCACAAATAAGCAGTGGCGACTATCCAGAATGATAGGAGATCGCTTTTGGAAGCGATGGGTGCACGTTTATTTTCCCACTTTTGTACGCAAGGAGAAATGGTGCGAGCCCATCGAGCCCCTGCATAGAGAAAACTTGGTATTCATCTGCGATCCAGCAATACCACGCGGCTTTGGAAAAGAGATATCTCGTCGGAAGTGTTTACTAGAGTTGATAGAGTGCCCAGACGAGCGGCGTCCCGCTTCGATGCTAGCTGTTCTGGCTCTCTTCTGGGTAGTCTTAATAATTGGCTTTGGGTTGTTTGTTGCCCTTGTCACCCTAAGGGTCTTTAGGTTCGCTCGTTGAGTATACTCCTTTAGGTCACTGATCCTGGCGGTCCTTCGTTTACACCTGATGTTAAATTCGGACAATATTCGGGGATACAAGTTTCATTCCTTGCGTACTGCGGCTCGCAGTCGGAATGTTCCGGGGGTGTTCTTTTTACGTTGCCACGATGACGATGCTGTCGTACAAATATGCAAAGGCGTATAGGGTCTTGACGGTCCGATGACCCTGTCAGGACATCATCGAAGTCAGAGTCAGGTCCGATGACCTAAGGCTCGCTGAAACGTCGCGGAAGCAAGGTGAAGTCAAAATGGCTTGACTTTCTAGTGGAAGAGTCCCCGCCCTAATACCGTGAATAGGGTACACTCCTGGCTATCCCGGGTCATAGGTATGTCCCAGTATCTATTTTTCAGATTCAGCAAAGATATGTAAATTTCATTCGGAAGGCGCTCCAAGATATGTTTGAGTTTACATTTAACTGTCTATAGTCCACGCACATTCACATCTGTCCGTTCTTCTTGCTAACAAGTACTACCAGCGCACTAGAAGATTTGGAAGAATTTGGAAGATTTTCTCGATCCGGTAATATCGTAGTAATTCATATACTTGGCCGTTGAAAATCTCGTGCATGGCTGATTAATATCCTTAAGACATCTTCGATATCTTTTGCAGAGTGTAAAACGTCACTTATAAAGGCCCTTTTGCAGTCACTTGGGCAGTCGTCTAACTTCAATCCCACAGAAAATATTTTGTCCAAAGTCAAGGAATTTGTTTTTGAGTCTATTCTTACTACCTTTAAAATCATTTTGAGAACTTACTTTAAATTTGTCGCTCAAAATATCCATATACAAGAAAGGAAAGCTAACTTCGGGCGGAGCCGATGTTGATATACCCTTGCAGTTAAAACCGGATATATATCGCAAACATCGGATATAGTTGTCCGATCCTTATGAGAAAATCATATTATAACCAATTCATTACAATAAAAAATCTAAAAAAAAACCAAAAGCTATCTTCAAAAATAGCAAAGTTGGTACTTCTACCAAAAACCATTTCCAATCGTTCAGTTTTATGGCAGCTATAAGATATAGTCGGCTGATCGTTTTGAAATTGGGCATGTCGAATTCTTTTGTTTTTCTTGTGTTTTTAACTCTATAACTTTAAAAACACTACAGTTATACCATTTCCAATCAATCAGTTATATAGCAGCTATAGGATATAGTCGCCCGATCCCGGCCGTTCCGACCTATATACTGCGTGCAAAAGAAAGAAGGGTGTGTGCAAAGTTTCAAGACGACAGCTTTAAAACTGAGAGACTAGTTCGCGTAGAGACAGACGGAAATGCTCATATCAACTCAGGAGGTGATCCTGATCAAGAATATATATACTTTATAGGGTCGGAGATGTCTCCTTTACTGCGTTGCACACTTTTGACCAAAGTTATAATACCCTCTGCAAGGGTATAAAAATTACCAGTACATTGCTGTCTTGTCGCGCATGTGTTTTTGGCATTTAACGACTCGCTACTAAAAATTAATTAATGCATGTGGTCTTAGTTTTGGGTATTTATATTGTTGAATGAAAAAGTTGTTTCTGATTCGTAATTTCTCTGGTTCGGACCTCTTTCGCCAATTTTGCGACCTTTCCCTACACTTCTCGAAAATGTTTTTAAATTTGTATAAAGTAATGAAAAATGTTTTATTTTTACTTTTAAAAAGTTTTAACATTCTTAAAATGTATTAGTCTATGTATCTCTTAAGTTAAAAGTATGAGTGCGCTGACCATTTAAACATTTCCTGTGCTAGTAGTGATATTTTTTTTTGCAGCTGTATATACACAGGGTACAATGGATTTTAATCTATGTTGAAGATTTTCTTATAGCTTGCTAGAGAAATGATGACCTGATGCATTAAAGGCAAAGATTAATACGCGACGACAAGATCGGTGGGATACTGATAAACCAGAAGACATATATAATACATTGGACATGTTAAAAAGACACCATTAGAACCGGGTTTCCAGGTGACGATGGTACACTGGAGGCTCCAGAGATGCATCTACTAATAATTGGCGAATGACTGTGGCTTGCGCTGTTATCGAGGCTAGATATCTATCATTCAGTTATGAAATTGGCACATAGGAATAAGGAGCCTCATCGTGAACATATGATCGCTGTGAAGCATGTGTGGCGGTATTCACAGCAACTTTGGACAGGAGACAGGATATGCGGATGACTGTGCTGGCCGATTTCCAGGCAGTCTAAGATATAAAACTGCGTGACACCACTAACCATACAGCATATGGACAACCCATTTCATACAACGAAAATGGACGCAAAAATTTCTTGCGACAGGCTCCGCAGGCCCCAGAGAGAATCTTACTCCGTATTGATATGTTATATAAATTGTTGTAATGTTACTGTGCCACTATTGAAGCACTAGTTGTGAAAAAAGTCAGACGACCTCGAAAGAATAAAGTTTGCATCTAAGTTTTCGTTTCCATAAAATATGGGCTGTTCCTATTTTTATTTAACTTCTGCTCCTACGCCACCTACTTTCCAAGCTACTTTCACTTCCACACAAAAATATATACATATTTTACACATTATTAACTTTCCGTACCAATTTTATTTTCTGCAAAAAATTTTACTAAGTTATGGTTTTTAATTTTGTTTTGAGAAAAAAAAACGGCTTGGCATTCGATAAGTTGGCTATAGCTATT